ATACAAGCATGATAATAATAATATATTTCATAATTGATAAATAATTACTACAAATGAAACAAATGTTTTTTTTTAATCTAATAACAAAACAAATCCAACATATTATGTATTTTAAAAATGTCGAAATGCTGTATAAATGAAATGCAATCGCGTCTATAACATTGGGTCTTTGACTATAAGAAAGTGAGTACCATTACCATATTATTATGATTATTATGAATTATGATTTTGATTCAAATTATGATTTCAAGATAGTATACATTATTCTATGATGTGAATTGATGAATATTGGACGTTCACGTGCAGCATATTGCATAATACCAGTATGGCAGTAAAAACTATAGTCAATAAATGAATAATATTATAATACTATCGAGAACCGAAGTACCTACACGGCTACACATAAGGTTTATTTACGTATTATGCGCATTTAATATTTTTTACACATCGAAAAGACTCATTGGCCTGATTATTTATTTTATCATTAATTACGGAATTTAGAAAATACGAATTAAACAATCAGCAATTGAATAAGTCATAACAATTTTTAATTAATGACGTAGGTACCGATTTATTGTTAAAAAAATGTACCACTTTGAGAAAGAAAATAATAATAAATAACATTATTGTATACAAATAACATACAGTTCAATTAACTTATTAATTAGACTCTATAGAGAACATAACCTTACATCGGGTAGTCCCTCCGACTACCACACGGTGCAGTCGGTGCACATTGCACAGTCCACATAGTCACAAATAAATAATAACAACTAGGTATGCAAATAATAGAAAAAAAAGGCCAAGTGCCAGTCCGACTCTCGCACAAAGGGTTCCGTACCATCATCAGCTATGTCGGCAACACTACTTATATTATGTATTCTAGGATTTTTAGTATTGAGGAGAAGTAATGCTAAAGCGGTTCTTCTTCCATCCCTCGATTAACTCGAAAAAAAAAGAATAAAAACAAAAAAAAGGATTTTTAGTATTTTTTGTTATAGCATCTACGGAAATACATAATCTGTGAAAATTTCAACTTTCTAACTTTCATGGTTCATGAGATACAGCCTGGTGACAGACGAACGGACGGACGGACAGAGTCGCCTTAGTAAATAGGCTTCCGTTTTACCGTACGCAACACTAAAAACGAAACAGTCGTACCTATAATTATTTTTATAGTACTTTCGACCGATAAACGATAAGATTATTAACTACATCGCAGTGGGCACATCATTAAAATATCATTACGATAATATAGATATAGATTATAATTTGTGCGTCACAAGCACGATTAAAGATATAATATTAAATATATCTTTAATCGTGGTCATAAGTCATAGTCATAACGCCCATCAATGTTATTTTAGTTCTATAGTCCATACTCTTATACGATTATTATATTGACTTATCTATTACCATCGATATTATAGTAAACAATATTTTTAAAATTTCAGTTTTGATTGGAGTGTTGAAAAATCTTGACAATTTAATACAAGGCTCCTCCTGATGTATTGTTAAAAAAATATATTGTACAATGATATTTGAAAAATATTAAAAATCCAATCACATTTTTTTTTATAAGTATTTCAAATCTTGACAAAATACGTAAAAACTACGAAAATATGCAAATTATTTTGAGTTTGAAATTCATAAAAAATTTTCTTTTAAATCTAAGATTTAAAAATATAATACAAGATTCCATACAAGTTTGCCTACCTTCATAAAAAAATATCTACAAGAAACTCAAATTAAATTTTTAGTTCATATATTTTCAACATTGGATATTCACTCGATTTCCCAAGTAGCGATTTTCTTATTTTGTTGTAATTCAAAAACGAATAACTGTAGATACATGAAAAATTTACTGAATGTTTGTATTTTCATTTTCTTTATACCATATAATTTTGAAAATATTTCGAATCATTTTGAACTGTTTACTAACAATTTAAAATTTGAATTTTTTAGATTTTTTTTTATAGGTAGGTAAATGTCAATAAAATATTATTTGTTGGCCAAAAAGCGTGAAAATTTAAGGGCTTGCAAACGTTATAATAACGTTATAGGTATTTGACAAAAAACGATTGAAGTTTGTAAACTTTATTATAGTGGAAAACGAAATATTTTAAAATCTATTTATTTAAAAGGTCTATTGGTTTCGTAGAAACATTTATTTAATGCAAACAATCTAAGAATTTATTATATTATATTCCGTATCCGGGTAATTAGGTCCCGCATTAGTTATTATTTTTAAATTTAATTGGTATTAACACCATTTTAAATAACAATAAACGCAAAACTTGGATAACGTTTTAATTGTAAATAACATAAAACGGATTTTTTTTTCAAATTCAAGCCCTGCTATTAATTTTATATTTATTTATTAAAATATGTGTTTAAAAGGACGCCACACTCGCATGGGTTGTCTCCGTCTTAAAAACGAGGAACATACAAACATTTCATACAGAAATTCAAGTGCCTATGCCTATGACCTATTACGAAACTTGACAGTAAGAACATGTTACTGATATGTAACATGATACATGTAACATGATACTGCAGTATCTGTGTTTTGTTGGAATTTTTTTTACGTTAAATCAGTTTTTAAGTATAATGAGCATTTTTAATTTCATTTATTATACACACTTTAACTCACTTAAAAACTGAATTATCGTAGAAATACTTCCAATAAAACACAGATAATGTTCTTACCATCAAGTTTCATAATCGGTCGATTCACTCTAATTTTTAAGATAACTGCATAGAACTTGAATTTCTGAGCTTAAATTTGGTATGTTACGAGTTTGGAAGTCGGAAACAACACATGCGGGTGTGGCGTCCACTTAACGATTTACCAATCACATTTTAGCTTCCTTGGACAATTTTTTAACAAAACTATTAAAATTGTAGTCCCTCCTGTATAAAATTGCATTTTAGAGGGTTTCATCACTAAGTAAACTTTCCACAATTGAGTTCTGACATAACGTTTTGACTTTGTATACGGCTGTTTAAAATGAATATAGGTAAACTTGTCTAGATAAGCTGTAGCAAAATATAAAATGTTAACGAAATACAATTATTTAACTTTAATTTGCATTTTAGTCAAACTATCTTGTTGTATATATTTTTTCAGCAGCAATGAGCGATAACTGCATCTTTCAAATATGTAATAAAAGAAAGGCTTGGTGGTAGTTCGTCCCGATATTATTATATAATATTATACATTTATTCAAAATATCATATTTATATAAAATGTTTTAGTGCACTTACCTAAATACCTATAGTGTTTTATTTTATCAAAATATTTATAAATAGATAATAATGATACTAAGTATGTTCAAATAAATAAAATATATATTATATAATATATAGATATATGATATTATAATAAATAGGTAGATATGTTATAAACGAGTTATAATGCGTTATAAATTCGAATAGTAATAAATAATAATGGTTCATTAGGTACTTATAATATTATGTACCTACCTATATTATGTAGATACTAGGTAGTCCAAATAATAAAACTATTAATAAATCATTTTTCATTTTTGATCGTTATTAATCAATCGTATTGTACATACTCTCACGCCTTCGGTATACCTTTAGGACATTTGACTAATTATATAAACGTGCATTATATAGGTACCTCGTACCTACACAATGTACATAATATTGTAATGTTTCACTTGAAAAACAAAATACAACTTTATTTTATTATGCAGACCAAATATTAACACATTTTGCATACAGTGTGCATTTTATAAAATACTGTGCAGGTATAATGATTAACTTTGATAGACGAGTTGCCGACTGCGCACAGTACACGATAAACTGCACGACTACTCAGTACCACACAACAGTTGTGAAGCGAATGTCGTATATTTTTTATCAATATTGCTAGATCCCAGACAGCAATTTTTTGTATAATAATATTATTACAACATTATATTAACGAATAATATTAGTATAACACTATAATGTTATATTAATACTATTAGATTCTGATCTGAGCGAGGAAGCTAGTGGTTTTACAATGGTGTTTATTTGTTTTTCTTCTTTTTATATCCTGTTTACAAAATTTCTACCAGAAGGAGTGGTTCGATTTCAACATATAGTACCTTATCTTTTAGCAAATTGGATCAAGATGGTACTTTTTCAAGAAGGTCATTTTTCGATTTTATCAATAGTTATTTAATGACACGGTAAAAACCACAGAAAAATTACTAAAAACCGCTAAAAATTGGATTTTAATTTCCAACGCTTTATTTATTACCATAGAAACGAATAAATAATAATAATATTATAATATTAATTCAACTTACATGATATAATAGTTAATGACAGTATAAAATAGCTAGACTGACAAACCGTCTCCGCGGTTTTATTATGATATACCTAAGTCAGATTTGTTAAGGAAATTAGGTATATACTACACAATACTGTAGTTCCGATTCCAGGTTATCGTTATATAGTTAGATCTTGCAGATTTAAGAACACCCTACAGGTGCAGGCGGATATAAGGAATTCGATCGACAGTCACATCAAAATCTTAAATGAATCGACTTTAATTGACGTTAGTTTTTTCGTGATATTATTATATTATAAAATATATATTTTTTGTTTGCCATTCTGCTTTAACTTTTAAGCAAATTCCTATTATGAACGAGTAGGTACCTAATCAGCTTTGCCATTGAAGTCTTGAAGCCTACCTATAATGGTCTATTTGTTTAGTTCATATTTAGTTTCTTAGGTATATCTTATGGCTTATTCATATAAAATTTACTTGTATATATTTTCATATAATACCTATAACACAATGCGTTATGTGCGTTGCGTATCGCTATATGGCGTATGTGCTAAATAGGTGCGCGGCGGCCGCGTTTATATTTGAATCCCAATCCGCACTCGGGTCGATGACACGCACGTGTACCCGCTAAATATAATGACGTTACGAAACAAAACTGCGAAATTCACGGTGGTTACGACACTCAGGTCGCGGTTTAATTATTATTAATAGCGTCCAACTGGGGGCAACGATCGTTCTCGATGTCGAAATCGTACACGTAACCGCCGTTGTCGGCAGCGCATTTTCGGAAATACTCGAACACCGCTTGCACCTGACCGTCGGACGCGGCCATTCCGATACCTGGTACGTGGTACCCGGTCTTCGGTCCACCGTCCACGGCAGCTGCTGCCAGACGACGGGCCAAAATCGATTCCAACGATACGCAAACGTTGGTTTGCTGCAGCTGGGCTCCGCTGGCTGGAGGCGCCGGAGACGCGTCCAGAGACCTGCTGGTTTGGACTATCGTCGGTTTGCTGACACTCACGTCGCCGTCTGTAAAAAAACATATGATGTGTTAGAATCGACATCACTCAGGTGAATTCCACGCCGACAATCGATACGAACCCTTAAGACATAAATCCTCAACCCATCCTCAACAGGAACATTTTTTTTTTGGTTGAATTTTACATATCATTTTCAAAGGTTTAAATTTTTCCCTACACAATCAAAGCTTAGGGATGCCAATATGCCATTGATTAAAGCAGGTAAGTATCTTTATAAAATCAGTCGGTATTTTTATGATATTCCAAAGAGAGTATATCATAATGCACACAGACACAGTGCTTCACTAAGAAAAATATTAGGGTTAAGTACCTACACTGATGAGTTGCTAATAACATATTATACAATTTATTTATTTATGTTCCTTATAGTAGGTATAGGTACATTAGTAAATATGAAAGAATACGATCAAAGTCTATTATATAATATATAAAGGTCAACTGTCGACATTTATCTCTTAATACAATTTGTATACCTACATATAGGTACTAAAAATTAGTATTTATTTTTAAGTGCGGTTCATTGGTGTGGAATGACGTGGATATTATATGGGTCTCAGTAATAATTTAACTAGGTATAAGTACTTTTTTTAACTTAACTCGGCGTCACTGCAGCATATCTATATAGTATATTATACTAAATGTGCTTCACAGATTTGAAACCATGTGACACCTACCATATATTATATTATATAGGTATTTCAGTATTTATATTTTTGAGTTTCAAATCCAACTTACAAGGATTAACTCGGATAAGGTATTATAAGGCGTATCCCGAATTCAAGAACAATAATAATAATAATGACATTGTATAAATTATAATATAGGTGAGTATAGGTTTTGTAATATATCCTATATGATATGCTTAATCATATTGTTACGATTTACAGACTACTGACTCGTCATTATTATATCGCGTGAATTTCCTTAGGTTAACATAACACAGGAACGTTGACGTTGTTTATTGATTACTAGCGTAGGTATATTATTGCGGAATAGCTAGCAGTCGAGTTTGAATCGCGAAGTAGAGACTATATTATGATCGTAGGGGAGGGGGTTTACAGAGTCAACTCGTACTCCGCTACTCTTGTGATCTTCAATATACTTCCCTTAAGAACAGGGTTACTCAGGTGATAGTGTACTCTCATATATTATTAATATTATTTCAATAATTTAATGAACCGGGTACCTATATGTTGGTATAACGTGTTCGAATGTGTTCGTTTACGCACGTAGGCCGTAAATTTATAGGACTTGAAAAATATAACTATTGGAAAACTTTATTTACATTGGTTCAATAACCCAGTTCTCAAGACCGGTTCGTGTAGTGTGGGAATAGCGAACTAACTACCTACCCTTTAACTGGATAGGATTCAGTGGCGTATATAGGGGGGGGGGGAATTATTATGCAGGGCTTGCATTTGAAAAAAAATTTAGTTTTATGTTTTAAGTTATTCAACATTCGCAATTATCGTTATATAGAATTAAAACATAATCCAAGTTTTGCGTTTATCGTTATTTAAAATAGTGTTAATACCTATTAAATTTAAAAATAATAACTGATGCCGGTAGGTAATGACCCGGATTCGGAATATAATATAATCAATTCTTAGATTCTTAGATTGTGTGCATGAAATAAATGTTTCTACTAAAAAAATAGACCTTTTAAATAAATAGATTTTAAAATATTTTTTTTTGCGTTTTTTTTTGTTCAATGATATTCTATAAATTACGTTTTGAGTTTGTTTTGTTTAATGATATATAATATATTTTTTTAATCGCTATAATTTGTTTTGCGGTATTTAATTATTTTTGATTATCGATTTCCGTTATCATTACGTTGACAAATATCAATAGTTTTTTATCAAATATTATGTTATAATCATAAAATCATTATAACGTTTGCAAGCCCTTTTATTAGGATTATATTTTATAGTATAAAATACGACAACCACTTTGTTTGAAAGAACGAAGGAGGCGTGTTGCAGTTTATACTAACACACATTATATTTATAGGAAAATTGACTATAAATGTCGTGGTGTCTTTTTTAAAACGTTTCATACTATAGTTTTTAATTATTATCACATATTTCATATGAAAATGTATAGATCATGATTCATGGGTATAATGAATGTTGGCGGAAAACAAATGAATTGCCTGACCTTTTTTCCGACCCATGCGGAGTTTCACATAATCATGTGTTACAAAAATCTAACTAATAATTATTAATCGTAGCATAGCAGCTAAATTACTGACCTGGGCAATCATCATCAGCCGGAAGTGAACAATCCAATTTCGCTAGGTACCCGTAGAGCTTGCAGGCGACATCCACGTGCATGAAATAACCGTCAGTGGCCAAACATTTACAGAACGCTTCGCAGCACAATAACACAGTTTCTTTTAGTGACTAAAACAAAAAAAATAATTTAATCAAATTTATGACACGTCACGATTTGGTTGCTGTATCTACATAATATTCAAAACCGTACTATTTTAATTTTACTATTTTTCACGAATCAAGATTTTATTCTTAATCAAAAACTATCAAAAATAGTTGAAACTTTCTGAATTCATCAAAAAAATTTATAAAAATACAACAATTTAGCTTAAATAATAAATTGTTATAATTTTAATTTTAATGTTGTCTTATAATTTAAACGTAATAAATTAAAATTAAGGTTTTTAAATTTACAAGTCTTTTTTTTGAAAATAGTACGTTTTGGTGTGCTTAATGAATAATGACCTAGTTAATGTCGAGTTCTATATTTCTTTATAAACTATAAAAAAAGTTATCTTCTCTGTCTAACTTGATAATCTAACCTAGAAATGTATTTGCATAGTATTATGTATTAATATTTGGAAATATTCTTTTTATTCAGTTGAAATTAAAAACAAATGTGTTTAGTAATTCATCACTATGCTTGCGTGGGCCGTGGGTTACTTTTATTATATGTAACCACACATTTTACCAAATATAATCTTAGCATTACAATTCAAACTAAATATCTAATGTTTTTACTGCAGTAAGATTTTGTCAGGATTTTTCGTTGTAGCCTGTAGACGGTATTTATTTTAGAAGACAATAATAATTGTAAAATGGATTCACCTCAATTGTTTTTTTTTATATCATAGAACATAAATAAAACAAAAGATAAAACAAATAACAAATACCTACATCAAAAGATTGCAAAGATTTCGAAAAAAAAATGTTTTGATACTATAATATTTATTCCAAAAATAAAAAATGTTATAAAGATCTGCCTAGCTAGCATACAAATATCATAGGTAGGTATATTTGTGTTGAATAAGATGGTATACAATTTGAACAATTGATTTAAAACCTGAAGTAAATTATAATACATTTAAACTAGGTACTTGTGTTCAGGTTTCAGCCATAAGTGCGATTTCAACTTTTGACTTGGGGGGGGGGCTGAATATATTAAAGGCAAGCAGACCATTGCACTATACAATTTTAAAATTGTATGCCCAAGGTTTTTTTTTTTGGAGGCTACTGCTAATTTTGTTGGGACTAAGCCCCCCAAGCCCCGTCCCTCCCAATTTTCGCCTATGGTGTCAGTCTAGCCATGGCCGATGGGCCGCAAACGCAGCCGGGGCTCCTCCGTTTTTTGTTTTTTTTTTAGGGTATCGTGTACATTTTCTATTTGCATGAAGTATATTTATTGAAATATTTAAACGTACCTACGTAATTTTTAGGCACAATTTTTTTTTTACAGTTCCCATGATTATATTTATTATGGGGCCCCATAAAAATTATTTTTATGGTTTTGGATACTTAGAACTAAATATTTTTAAACTTAAAAATACAAGCTTTATTTGTGTCAAATTAATATTTTAATATAAATTATAATATAATATAGAGATGGACAAAAAATAAACAAGGTATTAAAATTTTTTTGTGACAGTATAAAATAGATTCGTTCTGAATTTTGATTATTATTTATAAATATTATAAATTATAATAGTTAATAATGATATACTACAATTAATCATATTATACTAAACAGTTATATTCAGTTAAAGTGACAGTTATTTCGATATCTCTTATTCACGTACGGTCTGACGGTCATAAAACATTATTAATTCTACTGATTTATTAATTTATTTTTATTTTATAAAAGTTTTAAATAAATTTACACTTATGGTAGCCCAACACAATACTGGCTTGAAAACTTGGCGACGACAATACATTTTTATCCACCATAAACAAAATAGTCTAGTAACCATATCGCTGTATGAACAACAATTACGGGTTAGTTATATTTTACGAGAATCAATATAGTCAGATGTTGCTTATCTTTGATTAGTGCTAGAACGCTAGGTACCATAATTTAGGAGGACCTGAGGATTGACGAGTGTTAACAGCTACGTTTTCGGTTTAAAATTAAAAGCATTCAAATGAACGATCACATCTATAGCCGGAGGTCACGAGTGGACGATAAACCGTACTCGTGTGATGTATGCGACAAGACGTTCTATCAAAATTGCAATTTGAAGGTACACCGGTGGACGCACTTGCGAGAGAAACCGTACTCTTGTTATGTATGTGACAAGAAGTTCAATAGTAGCAACAAATTAACTCTACACCGATGGACACACACTGAAGAGAAACCGTTGTCATGCGACATATGTGGCAAGAGGTTTAAAGTTAGCAGTATATTAACGGTACACCGACGGACACACACGGGAGAGAAACCGTTCTCGTGCGGTGTATGTGGCAAGAGGTTCAATATTAATAGCAATTTGACGGCACACCAGCGGACGCACACTGGAAAGAAACCGTTCTCGTGCGATATATGTGGCAAGATATTCAATCAAAGTGGTAATTTGACGATACACCGGTATACGCACATGCGAAACAAACCGTACCAGTGTGGGGTATGCGATAAGTCGTTCAATCTAAGTTCCAGGTTGACGTTACACCTGCAGCGAAAGCACACGGATAAGAAACCGTACCCGTGTGATGATGTACCTATGTGACAGATTGTTCATTAACACGTTCACGGCCAAGTGTCAACTATAGTTGACATGGGGTTTCCTTTATATAAACCCATGTCAAGTATAGTTGACATCAGGTCCATTGATTTGTATACGAATTATTCAACTCTGGTTTATTCTAATAAATATTATGATAATATGGTTTTTTTAAACACTTCTTTACGTATCGATTGGTGTATTTGGTTTTTAAATCTGACCACTAGATAGCAATATAAGTAATATTCATTGTAGGTAACTAAAAAATCTTTTTTTATGTCCTGGTATTTTTAAACAACTTTCTTAATTATACTGTGGCCGTGAACGTGTTAAAAGATACGATTTGACGGTACACCAACGGACGCACATGTGAAACAAACCATACCAGTGTGGGGTATGCGATAAGTCGTTCAATCTAAGTTCCAGGTTGACGTTACACCTGCAGCGAAAGCACACGGATAAGAAACCGTACCCGTGTGATGATGTACCTATGTGACAGATTGTTCATTAAAAGATACGATTTGACGGTACACCAACGGACGCACATGTGAAACAAACCATACCAGTGTGGGGTATGCGACAAGTCGTTTTATCAACATTTCAGTTTAATGGTACACCAGTGACCAGTGAACGCACAAGTAAAAGAAACCGTACCCGTATGATGTATGCGACAAGCTGACAAGGCGACAATGCGACAAGTCGTTCATCATAGCGGCGAAATGGCGGTATACTGAATGATGCTTACTGGAAGGATGCCTGGCCGCCTGGGTATTAGATATACAGCACAATTCAAGAGCTTGGATTCGCAGATGTAGAGTTAGGTTATCATCTAATATAAATGTATTCTAACAGGTGCTTAAGCCCCTGGCACCCACGTGCAGTGTGCATGGTATATAATGGTCTATGTGGGTACAGGTTTATACTCTTAACGTCAACTAATTAAAAACACATAGTATAATACATTAATACCTATTGGTTTTAAAAACAATCTAGTATAGTTATAAATGTTCTGATTACAGTATTTAAAGAATAAAAACGTTTGAAATTTGTTTTATTATGAAAGGGTCGATATTATATTATTTCTATGAACTTATATATATGGGTAGTATAAGTATGTACCTACAGGAAGAAGAATTTATACAGTTATTATTTATTAATATAATAATATGTAATATATTATATAAGTAATAAATATTATATGTAATAAATGTATCTTGTTTATATAATATTATTGGGTAAAAATATAAAATCATCTTACTTTTGTCCAATGTCCAAAAGTTATACCCAAAAATTCTACCATGTCCACGTGTTCTGCACGAAAATTTCCAATCGTATAAATTTGTTCTAATAGATTGAAATCGAGTGATAAGTCCGACCACACTTCTTCTATTCTTTCTTTAGTGCCTATTGTGGTACCTAACTGAAACAATTATTATGAACAAATAAAATTTATTTCACTATTTACAGCGTGTATTCAACTTCCTGTACACAATTTCTTAATATATCATTGAATAGTGAATACTAACTTGAAAAGCTAATATTCTGAATAGAGTTCGATCTTGTTTTTGAGTAGTAGCCAATGAAACGTATTGATCATCTGTGCTTTTGAAATACTCTGCTGACCAACTAACAATGTCTTCAGGCTGAGATCGGATCGCGGCTTTCACATATTTTTTTAATATTTCTGGTAAATTGTCGGGAACGACTATCGAATTCATTTTTGTTTTTCAAAATATTTGTACCAATTATGTTGTAATAAAAATTATATTTTGACAATGAACACTATAGTGGTACAGTTTACAAATTCAAACAATTTTTTTTTTTTTTTTTGAATAACCGAATTACGTCAAACGCGATGTATTACACTCACTGATACATGAACATGAATATGACGTAGTATATAATGAAGTACGATTTTGGTCTACAAGGGGTGTATGAACACACTGTTACAGTATTCCACCTATCCACACGCCATACTGTTGTGTTTTGACATTTGTTTCTATGGTTCTAGGAACAAATCGATTTTGTTGGAAGAAAAACCCGAAAACTTTGGAAAAGTAAACTGTAGTCTGTAACATATATCAATATATTATGCATTTAATATGGACCGATAATTAAATATTTTTAATTTAAATACATCCATGTGTAGGTTAATAATTATAAGAATCAAGTAGAATTATTAAATGTTGCCAAATAAATGTACGGTATATTAAAATGTGTAACACAGATATTAGATTATATATTAAAACTATTTAAATACGACATTTTTTAAGTATTTTATTCATTAGATTTAATATAGGTTTATTAGATTCTTTTACGGTTGTTTTAAAATATATTTTAAATTTTAGAGTTGAATGATGAATGTATTGATATTTTACAATGATATGTTTTTTTAATTTTTTAATATTTGATAAGTCTTTTCTTGTGTTTGGAGACACTTTTTAGCCTATAAATAGCTTAAAAAGTCGCAATATTTCAAAAATTCTATTGTGCATAGAAGTTGCTAGTATACACATTCACTTAACATTCTATGTATCCACGGTTTATTTATTTTGAGTTATACTAAAAACAAAATCAATTTTTTGTCAAAAACTGGTTTTGTGTAAAATTCTCAGTTTTTCCTTAATATTTTGTTTGTTTCTCTAGACGCTTTCCAAAACTATTGGGAATATTTTACTTTTGACCACTCCAAGTTTCTACCAGAAAAGATGCTGTTTATGAAAATTGAACCATTTTTACTTTCACAAAAGGCGATGACAGAGTAGACACACACAAAAAAAAACACACACATAATTGTAAAATGAATACATTTATACCTCCTCTCAGAACCTAAAAGAGTACGAAGATAGAATACTACGATAATAATAATAATAATAAATTTAAATATTATATTAAATATAATATTAAATATTATTAATAATAATAAATGGTACAATAAAAAATTAAGCATTTAGACAGTAATGGTTTTTAATTTTTAATTCAATTTTTGAACTGCACCACGATTATTATTATAATATATTTTATTCTGTAAGTTCAAGGTCTGCAAAAAAGAGTACTACTCACCACGATGCTGCCAAATTTATTGATTTTTAATGTTGTTGGGCGCAAACTAGTATTTTAACGTTATTTAATTTTATTAAGTGTAATCGGGTTTTTTTCTATATAATATGCGCAATTACAATCACCAAATGTTTATACTATCATTTTCTATAGGTACATGGTATAATTTTCAAAATATATTGACTCTATTTGATCAATTTATAGACATTTGAAATTTTTTTATAAATATCGATAAAAAAATTTACTCTTTGTTAAAATTTGAACACTTAATATTAGGTTTATAATTACCTAGTTATTAGTGAAGTTCAAGCATTAAAAATACATAGGTACAATTTTTTTGACCGATGAAATTAATAATTTGTGAAAAAAATGGAATAGGTATTTAAATTATTATTTAAACGGAGAATAACTTTTTTGGTAATTTTCTTGTTTTTTAAAAATATTATTTGTTGGGGCTTGAACATGTAATTTTTTAATTATTATGCGGGAAAGAGCCGAGAATGTTACGGTAATAACTAGGGCTGGGAATGTAATGCCTTATAAAACCCTTAAAAATGCTTTAATGTCCTAAAAATTCTAAATAATGCACTAAAAAAATGCAGGTAAATTGTTTTTATTTTTAATAAATTGTAAAATATGAGTGATAAAAAAAGTAATTCAAATAATTTTTTTATAGGCTAAACTTCAACTAGGATTTCTCTTAATCTAAAAAAACAGTTATTTTCTTATATTTTTTTTTAACTATTTTGATAGATTAAAAAATATATAAGTACATTTATTTAAAGATCTTAAAAAAAGAATCTTAAAATAAAATTTCAAGTTTGAATTTTGGACCTAAAAACTCCAATAATGCCATACAAACTGTCTGATGCCCTAAAAAATTAATAAAATGACGTTAAAATAAAAAATAAAAAAATTAATAATCGATTACTGTAATATCAATATAAATATATAATATATTTAAAATATACTTAGTTTTAACTTATAAAGCTGACGGACCTGCTCAGAATCGGTTTTCATATTCAATAATTTTCAATGATTTACTTAATATTGGAATGCCAAATACTAATATTAATATAGTAGGCTCCATAAAAAAAATAAATGTTTATAAGTAAAATAGTATCCATTATATTATATAGATATATTAACAAACCTTCGATATTCAATAAAACTACAATATAGGCTTGAATATACCTACCTATTGATGTTTAGTGTCTTAAGAAACATTAAAAAATATTTATTTTTTTAGAGATTTTGACAGCAAAGGAATTTTAAAATAATGTATTAATTGCCGTCTATTTTTATTAAATGGACTTTGTATAAAATATTAAAAATATTAGTAGTAGAAATTTAATAAAAATCTAAATAAAAAAAAATAAGCTATTATATCCTATAGCATGTTTAAAATGTTTTGCAGTAGGTAGGTATGAAAGTACATTATTTTTAACGAGTTTACTATGACAATAAAATAAACAATCCGTTTATTTTATATTTTTCATATTAGTTATGTATTTTTTTGAACGTAAAAACTTTCATAGCAAGGAATTATATTACAATCGCGTGACTAAAGCAGTCATGGTATTTTTTTTTTGCAGATTTGTATATATAATTCAGGGGTTTACAATTTTTTAAGAATCAATTGGTTTGTGTTTTGTACCTATATGTGAAGTTTTGAATTAATAATTAAGTATCATAATTAAGACAATTAAAATATTGTTGTTTGTACATACATTTTTTGAAAATGTTTATATCAAAAAAAATACTTAAAAGTCGAAAACTTCAAAATAGAAAATTAACATAATCTTTAAAAATAATGTGATTTCTTTACAAAAGAATAAAAGGAACTTAAAATATGTACATATTATTACATTTTTTATTTAATATAATATTATAGACAATCAGCATTTTACCGAACCAATACATTTAAATTTAGACGTTCACGAGTTGAACTTTAAGAAAATGTTGGGAAACATTTGTCACGCATACGACATTTAAGACACGATACTCCAATAAATTACTGTACATAATATTGTCTCGTGCTTCGGTTTATTGTGACATTTTGTTCATCCACCAAAACGGTTCACTAGCTACAATGTACGATAATGAGCAAGTCTTTTCTTCACTATTAATCGTTAAATAATATATATACATATAAATCGTATTAATTTAATATTATAATCGGATAGTTCACTTTTAATCAGGTAATTATAATATTTTTTAAAGTGAATATCATCATGATATTTAAATGTTAGATTAGGTTGACTACTACCTAATAGATTTTTTGTGCGAAATAATGTATTTATTTATCTAAACCTTTTAAAATAATCTTAAATATTAATTTTTAATAATATTATTAAGCAGGGTTTTGCCAATGAATATTGAGAGCTAATTTCTAGACAAAATGTCTGAAGGAAATGACAATCCACAAGATCCACGTCCCGAGTTTTTTGGAAACTATATTATAAAAGCTCTTAAAGTTAAATCTGAAAAATGGTTCAGATTAATGGTGACAGAAGAACAAGGCACAAAGGTCTACAACTTCTTGGATAATCCGGAATGCATCGTTTTAATTATATTTCAGGTATCACAATTAAATCATAATAATTTGTTTATAAATTTAAAACGTCTTTGTGTGCAGGGATTGTTTTATATTTTAATTTAAATGAAATGTATTATTAATTTAGAAACTTAATAAGTATTCGAAATTTCTAAATAATACATTGCTGCATTAAAAAATACATAACATGGGTATTGGGTATACGTAGGTATCAGTTAGCCAGTACCTAGTGTTAAAGTTTAGGAAGGTTTTAACATTTTAAACGGTCATAAAAAATGTGACTTAATAGAGTTAAGACTTTTATTATTTATAGTTGAAATATCAAAATTAAATTAATCGTACTGTATTTATGTTCAAATTTTTAAAATCCCAATTCTACATTTTGTTATATAAATTTTAAAAAAACTGAACAGGATACAACTACCGGGTATAAGGCACGTTTCGTACATGTTTGTCGGTATAGGTGCTTATTATTATTATGAATTATGATCAATTTCATCGAACAAAGATTCTGAACTCAGTTTTAGTATAGGTACGAGGTACCTAATATTCATTGGTAGGTACCAACTAAACATTACCTAAATAAACTGTTTATAGGTACAAGGCTATATTTCACATTTGTACTTTAACCTATGCATGATGAAAAATAAAAATAACAAACCTTAGAACATTATACCTAGATATTTGAATGAAAAGATGGTTAAATTTGTTTTAAAATATTATAGCACGTTTTATAAGTACCAAGGTAGAAAATACAATAATTGGTGAAAACGCATTACAAAAAAAATTACCTAAATCGATTTCGTTTTACACTTTTAAAAATATATAAATGGTAAATTTCATTATTGTTCCACCAATTTCAGTAATTTTCTTTACAATTAAATTTGTAATAACTATAGTTTAAAATAATTGCAAAACAATAGGTAGGTAGTGAAATCCTATATAGGTCATATATTGATAGGTATATTATAATAAATAGGAAAGAGTCTTAAAAATATCTATCAGGTCTAACTATTTTAAATACATAATATGATAAAAGGACTGATTAAAACTAGCACATAATTTATGCTATAAAAAAATGATAACTGATAAAGAAAACTATAGAAAAACTTATCAATAGTATTATATAACATCAACATTTTGTTTGTTCATAATCTATGCAATTTATTTATAATTTTATCATAATTCAAACACTAAACTTTTATAATTTAAATTGTCTTATTTAATTTTTGTTTTTTAATTTACTTGTTTATATTGTGTCATATTAAGACAATTTGTAAACCGAATTAATAAAAATAAATAATTTAAATTATAAATATTTAAAAAAAAAATAGACATATTATTTACTTTCATAAAAGTATAGCATTTGCATCAATACTAACCTAACCTAACCGCTTGTATACCTATATCAAATATTCAAAGCGTTATGTGAGTATAAAAATATTATATAACAATATTTGAAACATTTTTAAGACATTTTTAAAACAGAAAATGATGATTCACCTAAGACGACAAGAAGTGATAATCATTAACCATTAATCATTATAATAATATATTTCCTATAAAATATTTATATGAATATTCACTAAAAATGTTTTAATTCCAAGATTATAGGATATAAATAAATAGATCCAAAATGGATAAATTAGTAATGTGAATAAATTATTAATTTGTAAGAAAATATGTAATTTTGCTTTTTTAATAATTTAAATAATTTATTTTAAATGGCATATTGTGCTAAGTATGATGCTATGATAGTATTAAAACCAAATAAATAATTTAGAATATGGCAGCACAACTATTTGCCATGGACAGTTTTCCAGTTCCTCTGAAAACTAAAGCAATATATTTTGTGAAAATTGCCAAGGTTGTTGTACCTAAAGACAATCCAAGTTCAGTTCTTATAATTGGTGATATGGCGAGCAAGCCTATCGAACAATTGGCAACTATTGTAGATGACGTAAGTATAAATTTGCATTTATTCTTGTACAGTAAAGTTGTACTTCACGTTTAACATATAAAATGAGACATGTATAAGTATGGTATGTTATAGTCTGTACATGTATGTTAATGTTAAACATTATAAAATATTCAAATATAAAATACGATCGTTATAGGTACACATAGGCAACTAATATTTACAGTTTTAATATTTTTCTTATTATTTATTAGTGCCCAATATATTATGTTGACATGTTTGTTTTAAAAATTAAAAATTAAATATTAACTGTTATTTGTATATTTTATAATATAATAAAATAAACTATTCTCTTCTACTGAAGATGAAAAAAAAATGCACCGTCGTAAGACCTCAAATCTCATTCTGAATGCCCCATGTAAATCGATTGTATATAAAATAATAATTTCGGAAGCTTTATCTTTTTCGTAATACATTACGGAAGATAGGTGTAACACTCCTATCAAAGGATTTATAAATTAAAATTTTATCAAAAAATCGAAACGATTGCGGATGCATTCTGCATTGCCAAGTGTTCGTCTAAATTGAGCTAGGAGTGACATTTCAAAATGTATTACCAATTAAATTTCAAAATTACTAGTATATTTTGGTAAACATAACAAAATCATAAATAATACATTGTAAAAAATGTTTTGTTAAGTGCTGTAATAAAATTATTATAATATAAGTAGTGTAGTATAGGTAGTGTTTAAGATCTGATTAAATAGGTACCTTAAATAGGTATATATAATTAATTATAATAATTTATTAATGATAAACACTTATGTTTACACTGTAGACAATCCAAAATCGTATAATAATATACCTAATATGTTTAAGTTTAAATCTTGGAAACAAAATATTATTATATAAACTATATTTAAAGGACTCAGAATGACTTCTTATTACAACGATTCGAGTTCGTAACATAAAAATTAATATCAAGTGATTAAAACAACATTAAAAAGTTATTCAAACGTATCGAATAATAATATTGTGATGTACCTACCTACCTAAATATTATAAAATATGTTGATTGTTTTCAAAATAAGTGACTAATGCGTAATTTGATGTTATTCGACTCAATCGCTTGGGAAATGTATTTTAGGTCCTCCTATAATTTACAGGTACCTAGGTAAGACACGTACACATCGCTACACATAATATTATTATATATCATTACAAGACGGTCGTTATAGTTTTATTATCTCCCGTCTGCTCTGTTCATTGTTCATTATGTTATTATTGTTCTGTTTACTCTATTCGTGTCATACGAGGTTCCTATATTTTGTACTCGTAGCACGGCCATAGAGTATTTTTATACCTACAGCGTCGCGAAAGTGAAAAAAAAACGCTGTTGGAGAGCTCTACGCGTGACGTGCTTCGAAAAAAAACAATACAATATAATATTATAATGCATACGCTGGTTACAAAGAACGGTTATGACCTTGTGTACACACGTAGGTTTTGGCAATGTACCACCTCGGATTATTATTTGCAATATTGCCGCAGTAGGTAGGTATACTCTATAGCCATCCATCAAATGCGCTTATGGCATATCGTTTGTGTATTTGGTGATAAGTACAAAATTTAGGTAAATTATTAATCGATTAGTTGCGGTTTAATATTGCTGATAAATATCATAATATAATACGTATAGTATATAATACATGTATATATGTACATGGATACAATATAACATGTTACATTACCTACCGTAAAACTCGATAATTTCTTCGATGAAGTGAACTATATTATAGACTAGGTACCTAGTACCTAGAAAATAATTAGTATAATATAAATTATAATGGTTTATAGTACAGCTGTATTTAACTGAACATTTATTCTAATAACATTTTGTAATCTAACTTTGAGCCTTGCTGGTAGGTATAGAGTTATACATAACGTCTAACTTCAGTTGTGAAGGTGATGATGACTGGATTAAAAAAAGAAAAAAAATTAATAAAGATACAAATTATTACTATATAACATTATTTTTAGAAAACAATACTATAAATTTCATTAGACAACAGTTTGATAACTTTATTGCTGTTATTGCTGAAACTCTAATACGGTAAAATAAATATACATGGGCTAAAAAAAGTTGATAAAGTTACTATACTATTCAGTATTCAGCTTAGTTGTATGTTAAAGCCTAAGTTAAAGTTATCACAATAGGGTTGAAATATTTAATTATCAGCCTTTAGTTTTCTTTCAAACTAGGTAGGTAGAATATGTAGATACTTTTTTAAAAAATACATTTTTGAAATCTACATAATATATTAATGGGAGAAATCTTACAATAAACATAGTAGACAGTAAGTATATAAACTATACCTATAAATATATATTTATTTCATAGTTATATTCACTACCTAATACTGAAAAAACTAAAATGTTTTTGCACAGTGTGATATTCAATTTTTGTTTAGAGGAGGTTTTCAAATAAATATTATAAATATACCTACAACAGTACAACCTACCTACATAATAGTTTACATTTTTAAAAATAGTACAAATTTAGACTGTACCTAATCATGCCTATATTTTCGTCAACGTTTTACCTAAAACAAAGATTAAAATTCTTAATAATTATGAATAAAAATGTCATAATTCAAGTATGATTCTTTAATATTTATCTAAGTTTATAGTTACGGCTATTATAGAATCTCAAATATTTGAAATCAATTGTCATTGGAAAAAATACTATTCAACTTATAACTATCTTAGGTATTTACTATAATACATTAGTATTCAATATTGTAATAGGTTCTATCCATAAATAATATAATAGTAATCCTTTTTAAAATGCATCTATATTCTATTTACAGATTTTTGTTCCATTGCTTGCAAATCCGGAAAACCATAAAAATTGGGCAACTGTCGTTTCGTTAGACGTTAAAGAACATGTTCATAGTCTAAAGAGTACTGTGTACCAAGTTAAAGGTCAAATAAATGGACAAACTATTTTACCAATGCCGGTGGGTGTGGAACGATTGGATAGTATTGAACAAATAGTTAAGGAAAGGTAAGCCAAAGAACTTGATATACCTATAAATATATTATAAAACTATTAAAATATAATTTAATATTTTTACATCAGTTATTTTAATGATTTAAATATAACAAATGCATAACATGTCATATTATGAAAGTAATGATTAATTAATATGTTAATATGTTTTATATATCTAGATATTATATATTATACTTACTTATTACTTACTAGTTGGTGGGTCATCAAATTCCATGTATTAGTTCTGTGACCCAGTGCCCCAGTCTATATTATAAGTAAGGCACGGATTTTAAATGCTCTGGATTAAAAAATGTAGTCAAATATTTTATTGTCATTAAAAATTTTAAATAATATTTAAAAAATAATATTGTGAATTACCTATGTATTTGAAATTAATTTAAACTGTAGAAAAAAATGTTTTGTTTGTAGTTTTAGTTTCTTAAGACATGTTTATTATTATAGAATGTAATTCTTGACTTTTATTGGTCTTCTATTTAACCTCAAAATTTCTTTGTAAATTGCATATAATAAATACATATATAGGTACCTATAAATACCTATACGTAGGTATATACTTACAAATAAAAATAACACTAATTAATAATTGTCGTGTTATTTATACCAGACTCTCTAGCATAAACTTAAATATCAATAAATACATTTAAATAAACAAACGTATTTTATAAGGATCAATACAATTTATTATGTAATAACAAGACTACAAATTATGAAAACTTTTACGTGACCAAAAAATTGCAAAAAATGATTTGCAACTACAATAAGTTGTTATATTTTATAGTGATGGAAAAATAGTTGATTTACACTTTAAATCAGCTGTTGAAGGTGTAATTATAAAATGGGCAACGCAAATAACCGAAGTATTAAGTGCTGACTCTGTATCTGCATTTAAGTGTAATCAACACTTAACTCCTTGGGCTGGTAATATTAAAATGAACAATAAAATGTGTAGAATAAAATTTAATTTTACAAATATATGTATATTAATAGAGGGATATATTATGTTTAAAGTACTAACATTTTTTAAATATTGTTATAGAAGTGGCATTCTGGAATAATCGGGTACAAAATTTAGAATATATTTTTGAACAGCTGAGAGATCAACGGATAGTGAAGATGACCACTATCGTCCAGTTAACTAACAGTGCTTATTATCCATGTTTGAAGAATATCTACGCAAATGTCGTTTCTGGTATCTAGCCATTATTGAATTTGTAATGTGTCCAAGCCACTTGATGTGATTGTTTTTTCCATCTATTTTTAGCACTGGAAGAGGCTAATGACATCATTCGCTATTTGAAACCGTTACAAAAGCATTTTAAATTATTAGAAGAAACTGATTTTGGTGACATAGCTGTTTGCTTAAGTCCACTGATGCATGTCGTTTGCTTAGTGTGGTCCAATTCACGATTTTACTGTAGTTCCGGCAAGATTATTGTTCTTTTAAAGCAAATATGTAATTTATTGATCACACAGGTTAGCATAAATGTTTGTATTGAAGTATAATTTTCGATTAATATTTAATTAAATATAGTGATCTTTACCCTCAGGCCGTTCGGTATTTGGACCCAACGTCAATATTTCAAAGTGATATTCACGAAACAAAATTGAGAGTTCGGCATTGTATATTTATTTTCGAAAAGTTTAGGTAACATTATTTTAACTTTTTTACATAATTATACAATAAAAAAACAATTAGTATGTAAGCATAGTTAGTGTTTTTTAGCTAATTATAACACAAAATTATTGATTTTGTCTTATTCTTGTTTGAGTTTAATAACATACCTACTATATCGTATGGTTTATGTCAATAAGAATAAATTGTACAAATTGAATGTAAATCAAAAATTATGATTTATGTGATAAAACTGATTGAGTACATTGTACAGTATCATATGATAATACAAAATAAATCAAATATTTAAAATGTCCGTCGAGTAAGACCAAATTTTGTCATAAAGATGGTATTAAAAAAAAAATAGCAAAAAAGTTTTAAATAAAAATATAATTAAACGTAATGTTATTTATATATGATCTATCAACGGAAATGTTCAAATGTCTATGAAATCCGTTCTCCGTCAATAAGATTAATATTATTGTCGTTAGTGTGTACCTATGTTATTTGATTTTGATGTATACATATTATATATTGAATTTATGTGATATTATATTTAAGGAATATATTCAACGATTATCGTAAAAAATTACCGTCGTATTTCGAAAACGAAGAAACTTCACTTTTGTGGACTTTCCATCCAAACATTATTTTCAACCGTACTGACTTGTTTATTCGAAGATTACAGATAATTGAAGTATGTTAATGTTTATTCATTATACAGGTATTATAGATAGTAGGTAGCTACCTAAATCTAGTTTACACATGCAACTATGCAAGTACCTATTTTACGTTATCATGATTGTTTTTAAACGCACGTTTTATTCGGTAGTGGTTTTTCGACACGGTTGTTGAATTTACAAAACTGGAAAGGATTGAATTTAGCGGACTTAAAGGTCGATTGCTCAGCGGTCGTATAACTGAAATATATGCAGATTTCAATGAGCAGTTTTCATTGTTTTCAAGTAAAGCATACGATGTCCTTGAACCAGAAGACGAGCGCTTCGAAGTAGACTATGAACAATTTAAAGAGAGTATCAAGGACTTAGACCATCGTTTAGCTTTTACGCTTAGTCAGGCTTTCGAAGATAGCTATAATTTAGACGGCGTTTTCAAGGTCAGTGTTTTTGGTGTATAAATATAATGCATGAAAAATATACAACAATATTATGTAAATATCAAATTACACGGCTGTTTGGATTATTAATACTAAATTATAACGTGCTTGAAATTTCTCACCCTCCCCCCTTCTCACTTTAAGCAACGGACTCAGGATTTTTTCAAACCCATTAAGAATTAATCTATTTACAATAAATTATAATATTTGTTAATATAAAATGTGAATATTCAACACTTTAAAGTTTAAAATATTTATTTTAATATTAATATAATATAATGGATATTGGATGATTACAATTATTTTGTATAATTAGGTTTGTATTATATAATGTCAATTACATTTGTGTAATTACTAAAAAATTACCTGTAATGTGGATACAGTTAAAATATTTTAGTTAATTTAGTTTTATTTAATGACTTAAAATTAAGATTTTTTTTTTTAAGTTTTAATATTACTTAAGTAGTTAAGTACCTGTAACCTGTATAAAATATATGTAAATATACCAAATGAATTTACATAATATTTACTATAGTGGGTACGAAAATTCTACCTATTATACCTAATTATTGTTTTTAAACATACTATTATATGAATATTTGTAAATTATGATATCAAATAACAATATAATATCGGTTATAACCACAACAATAATGGTTTTATAGTTAATTGAAATTGTTGGTGTCGTAATGGATCGGTCTGGCATGAAAGATATGTTTACAAGTAGTTATGGTAAAATTTTGAACATGTTATCTAACGAAGTTACAATTTGTAAAGTTAGTATAGATTTGCTTATAAAGTTATAAAATGCTGATTATATCGTAATGACTATATTTATGATTTGTCTATAGAATTTATTTGAAAGCCAACAAAGCGCTATAAGAACTCAAGGTTCAGCAAACGTTGATAAGCTTATGCCCCCAATCGCTGGTTCCTTAAAATGGTCAAAAACTCTTAAAGCTAGAGTTGAACATCCAATTCAGTGTTTTAAAAATTTAGATCATCCGTAATATACTATGTTACTTTTCCTTTAATTCAAATTAATTATTTTAATTTATAGGATCGTCCATTCTAAAAAGGCCCAATCAATTATAAAGGAAGTAGATGAAATGATTGTTTCATTAAATAAACTTGAAACAGATTTGATAGATAATTGGAAAGTTACTGTATCAAAAAGATGTGAAGAATTATTAAAGTTGCCGTTATTTGATCGTAGATCCAAGTGTAATGAGTTACAACTCAACTTTCATCCAGAGGTGACTCAAATAATATATTTTATATTTTTCAATAATTATAGTGTATACCTGATAATAATATAAATATTTTCAGTTGGTAGCGATATTAAGAGAAGTCCATTATTTTCGATCATATGAACTGAATGATATACCTATTGAAGCATTACAATTTCACGAACGCGAAGATACATTTAGAATATACTGCATTAATCTTAATAACACAAAAGAATGGTACGCTAGTTATTATGTAGATTAGGTACTATCATAATATGTAGGGTAATACGTGATAATAAAAAAGCGAATTATACATTAATTAGTTACAACAAATTGAGAAACAATAGCAGAGAAATTGAGTTTCAGTTGGTCCAAGAAGAGATTCAACAAATCGATGAATTAGTTAAAAAAGGCGAATATTCATTAAATTGGAATTCCGAAGGTATATTTAAATATATAAATATTAACGTATACAAAATAATATTATCAAAGCAATATGGGTAACCTATAACCTATGTAATATAATATATTCTATATACATCAATTTAATTTAATTAATATTTTTAGGTCTTAACGAGTACATTGGAAGTGTTCAAGACCTTGTATATAAATTATACCGAAGAGTACAAAAAACACAAGAAAATATTAAACGGATGCGATCGGCAATATCCTCGTGGGCCAGACTGCCAGTATTATGTCGAAAGGATAATAAAAAGGATACTTTACTGGCAATGGACGATCGCGTAGACCGATTTTCCAAAAGGTGATGTGTATTAATTTTTGCACAGCTACAATTATAGTTAATTTACATATATAAACATATTATGTTCTTGTTTCTTAACATAAATACAAATACCTACCTTAAAGAATTAGACACCTAACCCAATCTAACCTACCTATAAGTACGTAATAATATACCATATACGAATGCTTTATATTTTATTTGCCAAATAACCTTTATCTCATACACTCAAATATTTTGTGGCTTGTATACCCTAGTAATAATATCGAGTTAACCTAATCCATTTGTGTTTTGAAGTATAATAGTAGGTAATAAAAAAATGAAAACTAAATACTTTATATTAAATACATAGTTCAAAAATTAATATAGTATTACTAATATAGTAATAAACAAACATTAATGAAATTCATCCAACAGTTTATTTTTTATAATCGTGTTATATAATAAAATGTAAAACTTAGATTATTTTTAGTAGATAACATTTTTTATTAGTATTTTTCTTCGCGTTTGATTACTGTTCAGATTTACTTTGTTCTGAACATGTATACGAGGACAAAATGTTTATACACTTTGAATAAAATAAATGTAATTTTTAATTTTTACCCGTCCGATAACAGATTATCAACATTGCGTTTTTATCGCAAATAATTAAATATTTAGTTCTGAAGAGATTAAATAAATCTGTTATTCATCTATAAGTAGGTACCTATATAAAATATACAAAGTATACAAACTAATAACAAAATTATAATTTTAAAATTAATATGAATTTATATGCTAAATACCATAAGTTTATCTATGAAATCGGGTAGATTTGAAACACTGACATTTCAAATTTTGTTCATCGTATGGATTATACCTATAATTGCACAAGACTTTACGATCTCTGTTAATATTATTTATATCTATTTGGAAGCAATTACATTATTATAATTGGAAACACGTCACTAACTAAATACTTTATACTGAACAGACGTAAAGAAATCGAAAAAGCTGCTACGGAAATCCATAAGCTCCTTAAAGAAAATTGCGTATTATTTGGTATGCAGGACCAAACAAATGTCAAACAATGGCAAAATTATATGGCTTTCGTAGATTCCATTGTCGCGGATGCTTTGTTGAACGCTATAGGATGCAGGTGACCATTTAAATATACAGTTTGTACTGTGTAACAGCCCACAAGAGTACCTGACACACAAAATACTTTTTCTTCTAATCAATATTTATTAATTTGTTTTTTTATATATATAATTTATTGACTCATTATCTACCTACTAATATAACATTTTTTATTTTTATTTTATAATACTGAAAATAAAAAGTTTTAAATCTGATTTAAATTTTTCAAAATTACCAATTTGTAAATATGGTTTTTAGAGCAATTTTTATTATAAGAATATTTATTTAAGTCATGTAGTTTATTTTTTACGACTTTTGGAAATTTCATTATTTTTTTTAAAATAATGTTGATCCAGTCATAAAAAACATTTCAAATTTAAAAAGCATAAAATTATTTTAAATATTTAAGGGAAAAGTACGCACCTATACTTGTTAAAATCTAAATTTTATTTTAAAAAGTTATTATTTTTCAAATTAATGAGTTAGGTAGGTACTACAAAAAAATTGGACATTTCAAAAAATTATAAAAAAAAAACTATATGACTTAAATAAATGTTTATACAATCAACATGTTTACAAACCCAAGATTTACAAAATTGATATTTTAAATTTTTCAAAAAAAAATTTAAACTATAATTCAACTTAGATACAACAAAGTATTAAAAATAAATATAAAAATGTTATATTATACGTGTAATAATAATAAATTATATATAAATTAGAACCAAAGTTATACATTTGTCGGGTCTTCCTGTTACATCCTGTTTATAAAAAGAACCATTCACTATCGGTTAGATAGATAATTGTACGTTGATGTAGAAATATTATATTTTCAATCATTCGATATTTTTAGCTTATGTTATATAGCAGAGAATATGATTCCGGGAGTATCGAATGCACCATTATTCGAGGCTTGTCTCGAGTTACACGAACCGGATTTGGTTTTTACACCGTCATTAGATTCGAACACCGAAGGTAATTTTTGTTCCATCATTCAAGGGATAATCGAAGAAATAATAGAACTTTCCAAGCTAATGCCGCGGATTTGTGACAAAAAGAATGCTCGTGATTACTTTGTAAGACGGAAATATTAGATTTTGAGTTTTAACTCGATTGTATTTTAATACTATTATAATATAAATGCCGATATTCAACAAAATAAATAAATAAAATGTTTTATTAAAACAATTTAGGAAGAAATGAATTCCAATACTGACATTTGTGACATGAAAGAAGATATTATGAATACAGTAACTCGAGTGATAGGAGAGGTAATCGGCATTTATTTCTCTTAAATATTTTCTTGAAACTATAAAAACGTTTGGTTTAAGGCAAACGATTATTGTGTAAATTTTGAAAACTATTCTTACTTATGGTTGGATGATCGAGAACTTTATATGCAACACTTTTTACGATATGGACATCCGCTTTCGATCGAAGAATATGAAAATATGTCACTTGATGATACTTATTCCCCACCTGTTGTAAATCCTACAATGGATCAATTTAAGGAACAAGTATATATTATATTATTCTTAGAATAATTCAAAAAGTTTTTTTAGTTACCTATTCATTATATACACATTTTTATATTAACATTTGTTGTTAGATTGACAATTTTGAAAGCCTTTATTGTGAAATCGAACAGTTAAAATCAGTTCAAGTATTCGATTCATGGTTTCAAGTCGATATGAGACCTTTTAAACAAGCATTACTGAACACTGTATGCAAATGGAGTCATATGTTTAAACAACATTTGATGGATACTGTAACAAATAGGTAAAACGTGTTATAAAATAATATACCTACAACTTTGACAGAATTGATTAAATATTTAATTTGACAAAGTACTAATAATTAAAACATTTAATAAAGTATACCTAACGAATAAGAAATAATTACCTTTTACGATTAAGTAACTCAATAGTTATTATTCCAATAAAAATAAAAACTAGCCATATTAACAAAATTATAAAATATCGATGTTTAATGTACAGTGAAAATCTAATGATTGTAGTATTTTGAATAATTCTTAGCCCAAAAGTATATCTGAAATATTCTTTCTATTATTATTTTTTTTTTTGTTTAGTCTTTTTGATTTGGCCAAGTTCATTCAAGACGCAGATGGAGGTCTAATGCAACCTGTGATTGAAGGAGATTATGAGGTTCTCGTTAGTGTTATGGGCTATTTATACAACGTAAAAGAAAGACAATCTACTACGGACGAAATGTTCCAACCTCTCACAGATACAATACAATTGTTGAAATATTATGACATGGAACTATCAGAAGAAGTTAACGTTCTATTACAGGTTTCAAATCAATTGATACTTTATAATTTATATAAAGATAAAAAAATGTTTTATTATAATAGCAATAATTTATTTGTTTTAGGAGCTTCCTGAACTTTGGAATAACACTTGCAAATTGGCGATTAATATCAAACAACAAGTAGCTCCTCTGCAAGCAATTGAAGTCAATAATATACGAAACAGAATATCACATTTTGATAGTCGAATTAACTTTTTCAGAGAATTTTTCAAAAAAGCTAACATTTTTAGGTAAAAATGAGTAGATAAATCATTATGCATTGAGGTAATATTATATACCTGTTGTCATAATATCGATTATGTATAAAATTATTAAAATATTATCATGCTTTATGATTATTATGTTCATTACGTCGATGGACGATTCAGTTTTAATTTAATGAAAGTTTAGGTACGATTGTCCTTTTCCATATTTTGTATTGAATGATGCCAACTCTAAGATAATAGATTTCGAGATGAATATGGCTCAGATACAAGAATCCGCATCGCTCTTTGAAGTGAACGTTCCGGAATTCAAGTTACTTAAACAATGCAGAAAAGAATTAAAGTTATTGAAGGTTCGTAAAATGATTCTAATATACTACTGTAGTTTCAAAATTATACTTATTATAATGATTTTGGTTTAAAAACAATTATTCCAGCAACTTTGGGATTATGTTCATTTAGTTCATTCGTGCATAAACGATTGGAAAACCACGCCTTGGCGTAAAGTGGATGTTGAAAACATGGACATAGAATGTAAAAAGTTTGCGAAGGAAATTAGAGGTTGGTACTTGATTATAAATTATTAAATAATCTCTTTATATTTGTTCATTATAATGTACTGAAAATATAGATACAAATCTATAATATTATTACCTTTACTATAGTTATACATATTATTATCGGTGCAACTCGTAATTATATAACGTCATATAAAGTGTATTATTAGAGAAAAATATGTATTTATTACGAACAATTTTTTTATGTTAAATTACATCTTGGGCTTGTAATGTTGTAAAGTCCACCATTTATTCGTGATATAATATAGCGTTGGACAAAGAAATGCGATCGTGGGACACGTATACGTGCTTAGAAGCTACAGTGAAGAATATGGTAACGTCTCTGAGGGCTGTCGGTGAACTGCAAAACCCAGCGATTCGCGAACGTCATTGGAAACAACTCATGGGCTCTACAAAAGTAAGATAAAGTTAATTTTTGTCGTTTAAAATCCCTAATCGAACAAATCAATACGAAAACATGTTTACAGACTTTAGCCGATTTACCTGAAGCGTATGATGTGAGTAAATAATCGAAACACGATGTGTTCGTGCGTTGCTTGTTGTACTTGTATTTGTCTTTTGTGTGTGTTGTATGCATTGTGAATCGTCCTATATTATTTGCGCATTGCCTTGGAATCACTCGAGGGCTATATATAAAAAAAAAAAAATATATGAAATTATAATGTAAAGGCATTAACATTATATAAATATATAATATGCATATTATATAATTTATATGTAGCATATATCTATATTTAAATGTTGGTAAAATAATAATACATTTATTACGTAAATTTTATATGTCTATATACTTACAGATTGAATAATTTAACGTGGGACATTCATGATTTTTGTGATTTTGAAAGTGTATTTTCTCTATTATAAGTTATAATTCTATAAAAACACAAAAGAATTGAAAAATATTGATCATAACAAAAATGATTATATATATATAATATTGATACAAGTTTTCAAAACACAAAGACTAGCTAAGCAATAAGTGTCTCACGTTAAAAAAACATACTGTGTATTGGCCTTAACATTATATAAATTGTGTAAAAATGTGTACGTCTTAAAATGTATTTAAGTCTATTGAGTATTGACACCATTCTGCTCTAAATGTGTTTTGTCTATATTTTAATTAATAGGGAAAACGTAATTGTAGTTGACAACTTGAAAATTAAAATGGGTAAAATTAAATTACATAAAAATATATTTATATTAAATGATTTAAATTTTAGGTTAAGTTTGTTATGGATCAAGGTACTACCTTGGCCGAGTTATTAGCATTAAACTTGCACGAATGTGAAGACGATGTAAAGACTATAGTTGATAAAGCAGTAAAAGAAATGTCTATGGAAAAAATGTTACGTGAGCTTCAAACTACTTGGGCTGCAATGGAATTTTATCAAGAAACCCACAGCCGTACAGGATGCAGTTTGTTAAGAGCAAGTGAAAAACTCATAGAAACTCTAGAAGAAAATCAAGTGAGTTACCAATATTTTAAATTATATTAAATAATTAATTTTAAGTGAGTTACTTCTGTGTCAAACAAAATTATAAAACACGAATGTGATTGTCGTCCTGTATAGGTACAACATTCTTTTTTCAAATAAGAACCCGTTTTCTTTTACTATAAATTTATAGTTTATATGTTTTTATTTAAAGTAATGAATCGAAATTTGAACGATTAGTTTTGAGTTATGAAACTTTATATAGGTAAGTAGGTACCTACTAGCCCTTATGTCCTACTAGCAGTTAAGATAACATGGATACCTATACTTAAGATGATTTTAATACTACGGTGATTCATATTATTATAATAATTTGTGAAAATTCCATGGGTTGGTATTATATTTATTGTACCTATATTTTAAAGGAATTGAATATTACTCTTTAATAATAAATACATAATTGATTTAAACTAAAGAGTAAAGGTATTAATATAGTAGTGTAATTGATCAAAAGTAATTAGATACCTTCTAAACACTAAACATTTTTTTCTATTTATTTAATTTTTTTCCTATTATAATTTTAACTAAAATCCAATTTTTATTTATTACGAATGCCATATTTGTAGTTTTATTAAAGTTGTTAGATATAACTGTGTAACACTGTTAACTATAATATTATAGTTTAACTAGTTTCCTTCTATTTAGTCTATTATACAAATGTGTTTACGTGTCACTATGTTTTTAATTGTTGGTTATTCAATTTGAAAATATTAAATTCAATTAATTTACTAATGGATACAATTTGGTTTGCTTTTTTTTCCTACAGTTATAATTTTTATATTTCAACCTTACTTAATCTGTTTTCATTTAAATAATAAATTTGAAACGTCTTGTATTAAAAAGTCATTATATGAAACCATATAGTACTCAGCTTACATAATCGCCATTTTTTTTTTTTATAATAATGGAATAACAATACCTAACATTTCTTTTCAATTTGACATTCTACTAGTTACAAATATAAAACAAGTTTTACATGAATTTATATTCGATATTTCTTCAATGTTGTAAGATAATAGGTCATGGTATAATTCAAACGTTATACTGTTATGTAATGACTAACGTCTAACGATAAGGCCATCGAACTGGGATCTTTGGAATTTGATCACGTTTGCCAGTTGTCCTTTTAATTTTTTAAACATGCAATCAAAACGTATAAAAACATAATAATTGTACCCATAAGATAGGCACATTACGATAATTATAAATAAATAAATAATCTGATAATGAGTTAGTAGTAAATGGAAAAAAGTTAGAAGTCTTATCGCTTTGTTCTCCTTAGACATTCGTTCACACAGGATATTTTGCTGATAATTATTTCTATACTATCTGATGTTTTGTGTCACTATAGTCTGCCTCTTAGATTATATTATATTATTCAATCTCAGCCCCAATTTACGCTTAAATAAGGAAATGTTTGAGTCCAAAATAAGTTTAAACTATGGAATCTACAATGCATCAAAACGGAAAATATTATTAAGTCTATAATTATTAAAATTGTATACGTACAATAATATGTAAAATCAGTTAAAACAAATATTAAAATAAAGAATATTATAATAGGTATATTATTTTAATAGTATATTGGTAATGATTGTTCATAAAACAATTTTTGTGCATATTAAACCATACAAATACTTATATATGCATAACAAAATACAGTTAAACCTTTTAATTATTTTATTAATTAATCTATATTATTACTATTATTGCTCATTAGTCATGCGTACACAATAACAAAAATCTCAAAATTTCCATTACATAATATAATATGATAGGTACAACATTATAACATAACAATTTAACATACAGACATACCTATAACCTATAGTTAAATTAATAAAGCTAATTTAAATTTATCAAAATATAATATACTATCGAATAGGTACTTACACAACAAAGATAATATTAGTATACTATTATGTATAAATGTATAATATTTCTATGTTATAAGTACCTATTAGGAATCTACCTAATTAATATGTAGCTATCTAGATTTCATACCTATTGAAAAAAAATTTGAACTGAAATAGATTTACTTCAAAAAATTAACAATTACTATCAAACTATTGATTTGTTTTTGTTTATAATATGTTACAGGTACAATTACAGAATTTAATGACTTCGAAGTTCGTGGCATTTTTCTTGGAAGAAGTTTCAAGTTGGCAACAAAAGTTAAGTATAGCTGATCAAGTAATAAATTCCTGGTTCGAGGTGCAACGAACGTGGATGCATTTAGAATCAATATTCATGAGTTCGGATGATATTCGCAAACAATTACCAGAAGATTCAGAAAGATTTTTCCGTATCGACTCCGAATTTAAAGTATAAGCTTATTATGCGCTTTTTAAGATATGATTGAATTGAAAGTTATGACAGTTTTAATTTGAATGTTTTTAGGAACTAATGGCAAACATGTCTAAGACACCCATAGTGATCGAAGCTACAAACAAACCAGGTTTAATCAAACATTTGGACGATCTGCACGGGCATTTGACCTTGTGTGAAAAAGCCCTGGCAGAATATTTAGAAACAAAACGTTTAGCCTTTCCGAGATTTTATTTTGTGTCCGCCGCCGATCTCTTAGACATCCTGTCTAATGGAAATAATCCAGATTTAGTCGTCAGGTAAATCGATCAAAACACGTTTTACATAACGATAGATTTATAAATCATATCCGACATTAGTATATGCTTTTGAAATTGTCTAGTGATTATATATTATATATTACCACGGTTAATACTTAATAGTTAGGTACATTCATTTGTGTGGTTAATTATCTAAATAGGTACCAATTACCAATATTTAGTTTTCAGTGGTATTATCTAAGCAAATATCCAATTATGTGTCTGATTTTATTTAAAAAAAAAATATAATATCCATTTAATTTAAATCTACATATATACGCGTCCGATAATATGATTACATAATATCGCACCTCTAGAACAAGACTGTCATAACTCAACATTTTTAAATTTGAGAAAAAGTGATTCGAAGTCAAAATCTAAGATTTTTGATAGGTATATAACATAAAAGTATCAGTTGATATAGGTATCAGTAGGCTATTTTCTTATAAAATATTATGTACAATTTTTGATTCTGTATTACAAGTCAAATAAAAGCTTCAACAGTTTATTTTAAAACAGCTAAAACTAAAATAAGTTATTACATATTAATAATAATTTTTTTTAATATGCTTAAATGAGAAACTCGTAATATGTTGTTTATGCATTCAGCGTTGGCAACGTTTACCAAAACTAAACACTAACTTTCTAAATTATTTTATTTACATTCAAATTATAACTAATAATAGATCTATACATACCTGTAATAACATGAACATTGAACTTATTTTATATTTATCGTAAAAAAAAAATCAATTAGTTTATTTGTCAGCGAAATATCATACTATAGTAGTCTATATGCTTATATTATATAGGTAAGGTTAATATATATTATATGCCTAATATAATCGTATATTCTCATTTCGATTGTGAACTTGTCATTTGATTAAGTTTAAATATATAAGTCGTAATAGGTACCCGTTTACAACGTTCCAAATAGGTACTTACTTCAAAACATTTATATTTTATTTCGATTGACAAATTAACTTAGGAATATTCCTGTAAGGCTAATACATGTATAATATTCGCTTACGTTAGTGATAGTTAAATTACGAATATATTAAGTTACCCATAGGCGTTAGATATTCAAGCCATTGATGCAGGGGCGTCATTTCAACTTTTTTTTTGTTGGTGCGAAAATGTTTGCAGGCCATTCAAATTGTTACCAGGCCACATAGAAAACTTTTTTTTCTTTAGTGGGGGGGGGGGGGTCTAGTGGGGACAAAAACTGTAGAATATTAATTGTAAAATGTATTTAATACGTCACTTATATTAGTATGAAAACTTCACAATATTATTACTACCTATTTTCGAAGAACTATGTGTAGGTACTTTTAATAAGTTTATATTATATTGTGGATGCCAGTTGTATTTGGTAAGCACATTTATGGATATAAAGCACCTTAATAGTACTTAATCGAACCTAACCTATACATTTTTTCTCCTTGCACACTCAAAATAAATAATATAGCTAAACGCCTAAACCTGAAATTTGTTTTATGGGTTACCTTGTTCAAAATGGCACAATATACTTAATTCATATTTCTAAATTTTTCCACATCAATTTTAATTTAACTTTAAATTAATAAATTAAACTAAATTTTAATTTAATTTATTATTATTATATAATATATATTATTAAGTATTTCACTTCTTTCTCGATCACGACTAGAACAATCGTACTCTCGACGTACTAACTAAAATTGGTGGTAGAATTTCTACCATAGAATATCATTTCTACCGTAGTACCGTAGAAAGTAAGTGACAAGGTTAAAAATGTAAACAAATAATATTCTGTGGTTGCTATTTTTAGACAATTTTTTCCTTTTTAATGGGAATTATGTATCATGTTGTTTTCTTATTATAACGAGCAGGGAGATACCGGAGCGTGATAAGAAATCTATACCAGCATAATATTATACCCACAGATATTTATATATTCGATGGTAATAATATCATGGTAGAGAATAAAAAATATATATAACCCATAGACATAATTATATTATTATTATTTTATATTATGTCAATGATATAACCACACAACCACATCGATCATTTTTGGAAATAAAACCCATTAGTACCTATAATATTTATTATTATTTTTTTAAATACTGAAAAAATATAAAATATATATAATATATTAATATATAACACTTAGGTATATCGGCGTTTATATTTATTGTTGGCAGGCCAAAGAAGGCGTTTATAAAAAATGTTGGTGCAAATGTACACCCTGCACCCCCCCCCCCAAATGACGCCCCTGCATTGATGTATTAATATATAAAATAAATGATACATAATGAAATTATTTTAAAATCTGTAATCATGAGTGATGTCTAGGTTTAACGATAGTGTATGAACGAAATATATGTAAATATAGTGTTAAAAAAATAAGTTGTCACTGTTAAATAAAATAAAACGTATAGTTGTGGAATGTATAGTGAAAAATTATTTACTAGGTAGGTACTTAAAGTGAAATACAAAGATTGGATTGGATCATTGCGATGTTCCATTCTTGGTATATAACTAATATGTTCTTAAAAGTCGAAATACAATGTGAAAAGTGAAATCTATTAAAACAAATTCTCCACGGTTTGTGGCGATAGGTTTATTACTTATTGGTTTTTTATTTTCAAATAACAATTTTTAGTTTTGCAATTTAACTAAGACCAAGGGCTAACCAACCAACTTATCCAATGCAACTATATAGTAGAACCTCAAAATGTACACTATAAATTTTAATAAAATCGGATTGCAAACTATATTTAAAATGCAAATGCTTTCTCTAAATTATAAAAAAAAGTATTCGTACCTATATACTTGCAATAAACTATACACTATAATTTAATATTTCAGACATATGATAAAATTATTCGACTCGATAGCATCACTTGAATTTATCGGCTCAAAAACAACTGAAAAGAAAGTAGCTGCGGGAATGCACGCCAAGGACGGTGAATACGTAAAGTTTAACGAGGACTGTGACTGTAGTGGACCAGTGAGTTGTGTCGTAATCATACATTATGTAGCATAGAAATTGTTTTTTTCAACCGATGTTTATGTTAAAATAATACGACTTATTCCTTCCTACTAAATTATTAAACCCAGAAATTCACAGTGAATACTTACACCTATGTTTATTCGGAAAACCAGTTTTTAGAGTCAATAACATTATGTAAATATAACGCAGGTATGTAAATAATATGTGTTAGTCATCGGAATGGTAAATACAAAATACTCATCGTATTGCCTTATACTTGCTTTTTTTTCTCTCTAATAATAATATTAAGTAGACTTGGTAGATATATAATATAATCAATAGACACATAATTAAAATCAAATGATGTGTAATTTGTTAGGAATGGCTTTTAAATTAAGGTAGCCATAGTCTTGAGTAATATTTTCTGTATGGATATATTGATTAGAATAATAACATTTTGAAAATAATTTTAAAAATCATCTAAAACTTATCTGAAAATACATTTTTCTAAAATCGTACTATATTCTTGTGAATGCTTTTAAAATTAATTTTTAAATACGTATTCAAGTAATTTTTTAGACAGCAGACGGGCAATAACATAATATACCTATTTTAAATCAAGTACCTTAGTATAATAAAATTAGCAATAGCTAGTACACATTTTTAGATTCTGAGTAGAGTGATCATAAAGATATTGATTTTACAATGTTTGTACCTACACATCAGAGACGAAACTTTACAGGTCAAAACCAACAACCATAGTCGTCAATAATAATAATAACAATAATAATAATAAAAGCATGTGTGTGCAGACTTTTGATACCTAAATAGTAATTATAAGTTTGAAAACATTTATTATTGTTTTTATTGCTAGGGTAGTTGCAATGTAGTTATTCCTATGTTTTGTTTTCCAACGTCTTTTAAATAATTTGTTAGTAATGTCCAGTCAAATCGCTTTATTAATTATTAGTGATACATATGACCTATTTTAAATTCTGAGTGAATGTATTGATTTTACAATGATGTGTGTTTTTATTGTGTATGTGTACACGATTTATAGTAGGTAAAGAAAATTCTTCGATTTCCACTTTGTTGGTGGTTTCTGGTAGCAAATTGAAGTCAGTTGATACTGTAAATACTTGAAATTTTCAATACATTTTAAAGATTTAAATTTTCAAAATGTTGTATTCTTTCTGAGTTGTTTATAGATATTTTTGTTTTTTCCATACATATCGCAAAAATACTTTCACTCTGTTCAAAAATTTGAATATTCAATACAAGGTTCCTCATAAGTTGTTGTTACCTATAGTAATTTAAAATGTTTAAAGATATGCCATTAGCACGAAGACATTTTGATTTTAAATTCCATTTAGAATATTTACCAAGTATGTAATAAAGAGATTTATGCCTAAAGTTTAACAATGGTTGTTAGTTTTTTATATGATCCGCCAACGTTAGATGGTGGTATACTATTAAAACTAAATAATGAGTAGTGTTAGATCTTGGTATAGTTTAGTTGTTTCAAGTAACATGTGGTACGTCTATAAGAGGTTGTACCTAGATTTAAAAAGGCATAGGTAATTAACAAATGTTTATCAAAAAAATCCAAGGAATTCGTTCTGCGTTTCTAGTAGGTTTTCAAGTGTTTGCCTACTTCGGCGTCGAGTAGAGAGTTGGTTAGTACTGTAATAGATAGACCTATGCTATATCATATATTTTTATTATTCTTATAAGTATACTTTATTAATTCAATAAGTTAAACTAATTTTTAAAACTACGCACATAACATTTAAGTCATACCACGTCTGAATATATAGAATCGTAGTATAAAATATAGCTTAAAATTATATTTTTTACCTTGTACACCCCCCCTCCTCAATTGTAATTTTTTTTTTAGCTTTGAACAACTTAATGTACCTATCAACTATATCCGATTAGTTACCAGAAACCACCCTTAAAGTTGAACTATGTAGTTGAAGATTATAGAATTTTTACTGCTCCAAAAGACGATCACAGGCATAAAAAATAACATTAAAAAAACATATTATTTAAAAATATCAGGTTAGGTTACCTCCATTCAGAAGTGAATATAATTTTTCTAATTTTCTCACATGAAATATTATATCATATTCGTGTATCATATTATACATACATATCAATGTTTCTATGAACTCGTGACGACGTTATTTGATATGAAAAAACAAAATATAAAATATAAAATGTTACAATTTAAATATTTTAAATCTTGTGACTCGTTATATTTTATCATTTTTCCTGTGACCTATAGCTCGGTTTTCGGAATATTTCTGTACCAAGGTTAAAATCATCAGATAATTATGTTGGCCGTCTGTGTGTATATTGTTCGTATAAATACTATCTAGCTGGTCTTAAAACCTTTTCGATTTCCTATAGAACTGAACCATTGAAATTATTTGTTGTTAAAGTACTAAATATATTATATTAATGGATGGTCAGGTATTTTGCTTAATGTGTGTATAATCCTGTTTGCTTACTAGGTACTGTTACCCAAGTAGATGCTTAATGTAGCTGAATTCGTTTATACGAATGTAATGGAGATGACTCATTATTATATATTATATAATATGGTCGATATAGGTAGTTTATATTATTGAAATTACACATTACAGTGATACGATTAACATTAATGCAGTAATATTAGATCGAATCCAAAATACTAAACTCTTCGTAACACTTAGGTAACAATAATACCATTATTAATATATTTTCAATTCGTATTTACAACAAACCCATATAGGTACTTACGTAATTTTTCAACAGTATAATGTAGAAATTATGATTATTCCCATAAATTTGTTTATGCGTAGATTAATGGATCTAAATACGTAAATAGCAAAAAAATAGTTTTCGTTATTGTATTTGTATTGGTATGACTAAATGTCTTTAGTTATTTTGTGTATTATAAACAGGTACATAAAATATAATATGATATATAATAGTAACCTAATATACATATAAGTATAGGTACACCTTCATAACTATTAAATAAGTTTAATTTTTATAATAATTAGTAAAAATAGAAACAAGAGAATTATTAGAAGGTCAAAAAATCGTATTATGTGATTTTATTGTCCCTATGTCCTTCTTTAATTTTGTCTGATTTTTTATTATTATTACTTTATACACTAAAATGATGTATTGAATTATGTATCTTGTATCTATAATATCAACTTCCTATTATATTAATTTTTTATAATTTTCTGAATAATATCTATGTTTTGTCTTAAAATATAAATAACTTGGTTGGTTTTTAAAGTATCTCATATGAAGTATTTTTTTAGTTTTTATTATAAATTAATATAATAATATATAAATATTTAATTAATTTAGATTTAATCGGAATATATTGGTTTTACAATAATAGTTTTTTTTTGTCTGTCTAAGTAATTAAAAAATATTATTCCTAGATAGTCGTAAGACTTTTTCAATACCACATTTGATAAAATAGGATTTGGGGGGAGGGGGCCTTACTAAAGCCTTACTTTGATAATATTGAATAAGCTTAAAACAAAGTGTAGGAAATGTTTGGGGGGGGGGGCTTAGTCCCTAAAGCCCCAATGATTGCGCTTATGCTCTCCATATATGATAACTAGGGCCCGGATTTTTATGTAATAAAAAAGTCAAAATATGTAAATATTTATGTTGTTATTTTTGCCAAAATATGTATTAAAAATCATGGAATATTTAACAACAAAAAATTAATTTTATTGATTTAATTAATTTTTAATCATCTAAAAAAAGTAATAAAGATAAAGAATTCTGTTACATAACATATTTTTTTTTGTACTTTAATTTATTCATCTTCATTGCAGTCGTCTTCGAAACAGTTTGAAACAATGTACATTTGGAGATTTTCAAATTTAAATGTGCGGCGGTTAGGTCTTAAAATTGATTTGTATGGTGCAAATTCAATATCCATTGATCCATTGTTTTCATTTGTATTTAGAAGAATATTTCTAATAGTTTTTATGTGTTGTAAACCAACATTTTTAGCTAGTACGTCACAACAGCACAACAGCACACTGAATAATACTAACACTAACCGATATGGTGACATCAAATTTACGACGCACGATGTCGATAAAGTCGATAGCCGTCGATAAATGGTTATTTTTAACATTTCTGGAAATTTAATAAGTACATAAAAAATCGTAAACAATATGTACGACGTCGATAAAGTCGATAGATGGTTAATTTAATAAGTATCTACATTTATAAAATATGAAATATTTGCAAAATATGTACTTTTTAATAAAATATTTAGAAATATGTATTTACAACCAAATATGTGAAAATATGTAATATAAAAAATTGTCATTTTATTCAGGGTGTTATGAAACATGCTTGTTTTTAATCAGGACAAAGATATCTGCATTCAATAAAAATATGTATTTACATAAAAAATCCGCGCCCTAATGATAACTATTCTGCACCGTGGTACCTATCGAACTCCACACTCTACACAGACCTTAAAATTGAATCAGTCAACCAATATGCCACCATAACACCATACACTACAAATCATTCTACTGAAAGTTGTAACTTCTAACCCTAATACATACAAATCTAGCCTCTCCCTCCTCGTCGTAGGTATATCCTTGTTCATCTATATGTTGAATATATATTATAATATATATATATAAAGTATAAACTGTAAATTGTCTATATGTACATTTAAAATTGTGTTTGCTTGTATTCACAGGCATAAAAATGTCGGGATTTAGTATTTTTGAGATTGGGTAGGTAATGTGTTCTATTTATAAATAAATTATACTTCCGTGTGATAAATAATTGTAGATATCTACGAGATAAAAAGCAAAACAAAACATTAGGTTCTACCTCTCAAGTTCTACTTATCATATTAAAGGTACCTACCTAAATATTTTTTATAACAGAAATAATATATAATATGCCTACACATCTGCAATAGGTATATTATATTATATTAAACTTATCAGAATTTAAAATCTCTCGATCCTTAACTTTTTTCTTGTGTTAAGGAGGTACTAGGTACCTAGTACCTACCTAAGTATCTTAAAAACTATATTGTCAGTATTTATGTGGTTACTGGTTGCCTAAGTGTGATATTCAAAATTCAGTATAGATTTACCTCGAGATGTTAACCTTGAAATGTACTTCAAGGTTACCCGCGTACTGTGCGTTTGACGTTAGTCATATACCTACTCATATTATACAGGTACCTACCTACCATATTTATCAAAATTGATACGGAAACAGTGACGGTTTGTAAAAATGTAAATATAACTTTATTCAAAAATAATGTAGGTACAATTTATATTCTCTTCCTCGTATTGTTTACAAGATAATTTTTAAATCTGGGCTCCATCATAATAAATATTATGAATGTTCATTATATGGGTAAAGTTTTGTGTCATAAAAATATAACCTACGATGTAAAATTGTAACCTATTCATAAATCGTGTTGCTTAATACTTGTTGATAATAGCTTAGACCTTATTTTTATTATTTTGAAACAGTCTTAGATTTCATAGTGGGTATTTAAAAAATTAAATTAAACATAAGAATAAAATCTTAAATTACCGTTTCGCAAATCCTTATTATTACAATATACCTAGGTGTCTATACTACCTTTATATTTATTATATGACTATAATATGTATTTAGACGTGAAAAATAAAACTTTTACGAGTAAAAACTCAATATTTTGATGTAATAATAATAATTTGAGCACAATATAATTTGCAATCAATATAGGTATTTACTAAACCTATAGTAATGTGTTGAATACATTAGTTTGATTTTTGCGAAAATAACACCTTGTTAACTGTGTCTAATGATTAAAAGAGTTGTTAACATACCTATTATTGGAATATAAATTGTAGATACCTATATTATTATTTTACATAATTTGTCTATAATATTATTATTCTACATATTTCTCTCTTGAGTTATTATTATTGTTCGATAGTCGATTTAAATAAAATTGTCAAAAAACTTAATCTTAGTAAGTAATCATCTTTCATTGTATACACTGTTAGGTTCTTACTACCTAGTACCTAAGTAAATATATCTTATATTAAGCATGTGGATTATTTTCATGGTCAGTATTAATTATTATATTATGTAGAGTCAAATGGGACACTGATCTTTGTATTGACTCATATAACTGGTGGGTCATTAATCATTTTTTAATGATATTTCATTAAAATATTAATAATTAAATCGGACAAAATATGACTATCAATTAAACATTATAGTCATTCTATTTTTGAAAAATTATTGAAATGTTCAGCTATTATTTTAGAATACTAAATTAAAACAAATTTAGCATGTATTATTTTTAAAACTTATAACTATTTGACATCTGCAAGATTATATATTTTCAAATTTACAATTCATTCAGATAAAATGTCGAGTAAAATTAGATAATAAAACAAATTTATACAAAAAAAGGTGGGTAAGTTTATGTCGCTCTGCTGTACTGTAGGTTACAAGTGGGTCACTGTATAATGGATGGTATTAAATTTGAATTCAATGATACAATATATCATTGTATAAGAAAAACGATTCTGAGCGAAGACGGTATGTCAGTCTAGGTTTAAGACAAATTATATACATATCTATGGTATTAAAAAAAAATTGACTTATAATAAATTCCAAATTAATCATATCACATTATCACAATATCCATTAGGTACTTATAACACGTTATACATCAACATTAATAACAAATCCTGATACTATCATTGATATATAATAGTAAACTTTAGAAGTTTCAAGTAGGTACCCACGAATAATATTATATAATCACAACAAAATAACTAGGTTTTTTAATATGTAATTTCGTCCAAATTTGAACATAAAATGACTATAAAAATAAACTGTGATTGTATATTTTTTAGATTTTTTGGTAAGAGAATTAACTACTTACGTGGAATCTTGTTTTAAATTTTCAAACCTTAGCTATAAAAACTGAACATTTTATAATTTATTAATTACGATGATTAATAATTTTCGAGATTTTGAAAAATTCTCTCAAAATTCGATGTTTAAATGTTTATAAAAAAAAACTGTGTCTATGTATTCTTAATATTTTTCAATTGATATTGTAACAATATATCAGGAGCCTTGTATTACATTTTTACACTTTTTGGCACAACAGATAAAACTTTATTGATATTCATAGAAAAAAAAACTAAAAAATTGAAAAATGAAAATATCCGTAAACTGCTCAAAAAGAGTCAAAATATTTTCAAAATTGTATGGTGTATATAGGAAATGCTAATATAAACATTCAGTGAAATTTTCATGTATCTATAGTTATTCGTTTATGAATAAAAACAAAATAAGGAAATCGCTACATGAGAAATCGAGTGAATATCCAATGTTGTAAAAATTTGAATTTCAAACGCTCATAAAAATTTAATTTGACTGTCCGGTAGAGATTTTTTTATTGATAAAGGTAGACAAACTTATGAATAATCTTGTATTACATTTTCAAATCTTAGATTTAAAAAGAAAAATTTTTGCGAATTCTTAACTCAAAATAATTTGCTAATTTTCGTGATTTTTCCATATTTTGTCAATTTTTGAACTTTAAATGCTTATAAAAAAAAACTGTGACTAACGATTTTTAATATTTTTCATCTGCCTTTGAAACAATATATTAGGAGCCTTCTATTAAATTTTCAAGTTTTTTTAACCAACAAATAAAATTTTATTGATATTTCTAGAAAAAAAACTAAAAAAAAATGAAAAATGAAAATGTCCCTAAACAGTTCAAAATAAATCAAAATATTTTGAAAATGTTATCGTGTATAGAAAATGCAAATATAAACAACCAGTGAAAATTTCATCCCCAATGCACCAACGATATTCACTTTCCAATCGAACAAGATACTGAAGTCGAAAATCGAAGCATTATTTCGACTACTTATCGTGTACACAGACACAAAAATAAAAAAAACACACATCATTGTAAAATCAATACATTCATCGTTTCACTCAGAATCTAAAAATATTGAAACTTAAGTGACTTAAAATAGTTGATTCATTCATAAAAAAAAAATAATATCGTTACATTTAAATACCTATTTTTTTATGTGTCGATAAAAATAACATTATTAGGATGCAGGTAAGTTTAAACACAATAAACTAAATTCATATAAATAGAGTTGGTATAGATACCTAAATAAATTATGATTTTTTAAACTAAAATTCATTGATTTCTAACAGGGCTTGCATTTGAAAAAAATTCTGTTGTATGTTATTCACAATTAAAACGTTACCCAGTTTTTGCGTTTATCGTTATTTAGAATCAAAACGTTATACAAGGTCTGCGTTTATCGTTATTCAGAATAGTGTAACAATATTAAATTTAAAGTTAATACGTATCAAATGTATTAATAATAAGTAATAACTAATGCGAGTAGGTAAGGCCCTGGATATGAAATATAATATAATCAATTCTAATGTACGTATGCAATATTTCTACGAAACCGATATAACTTTAAAAAAATTTCGTTTTGCATTATTTTTCTTTCAATGAAATTCTATAAATTACGTTTTACGATATTTTTCTTTCAATGATATTATATAAATTACGTTTTGCGTTATGTTTTGCTTAATGATATATAATATATTTTGTTAATCATTATGTTTTGTTTCGGTTATTAATTATTTTTGATTATATTTACGTTTACAAATTGCAATCGTTTTTTGTTAAATATAACGTTATGATCATAACGTTATTATAAGCCCTGATTTCTAAGTATCAAATTTATTTACTTCCTAAATATAACGCATTGTGAATTTAATGAAAATCCTTAATATTTATTGAAGTCGATAGGTTATTATCAAGGCAATATTTCCTTTTTATTATAATTTATAATGTACCACCTAATGATTTCGTCATAAATTTAATTTAAAATACCTAAAGCCATGAGTGTATATTATATATATTCATTGCTAAAAATAACCCTAACTATCACCGTAAATAATTTGCAGCTGATCGCAAAGACATAATATATCTATGGCGTATTGCAATATTTTTAAAATCGCACAATTATTCGTAAACATTCATAAAGGTTATATTCATAAATCATTATAATATAATAGATACTTGTTATTTATATTATT